TTGCAGTTTTTGGCCTGGGCCGGCTTTGAACCCACCACCCCCGGCATATGGGGCTGGCGCCCTACTCCTTGAGCCACGGGTGCCACCCACCAAGTGCTTTTTCAGTGACTATCTATGGCTCCAAACCCTAACATTCTACCCACTAGTTAGTCTTCCTGGTGTGTCTGGCCTTTAACAGGAGTCATCTTTTTAGAACAAACTATGTAGGAGCCCATTATGAGTTACCTTTGTGTGAATAGTCCATCAGGAATTGAGGAGTATTTCATTCTGGACCCTGTCTCCACCCAGCCTCTCCACCTGATCTTGCTTTTAAGGAGTCAGGAATCAAAGGACCAGAAAAGAAAGAAATTACAAGTGTGATATCTAGAGATAGCAAGGTATACTAGACATAAGGGCACTGTTTATAACTTCATTTTTTTCTATGAAGTGGTGATTTTATTCCTTCTATTTTGACATTACTAACAGACCCTTCTGTTTGTTGGATTTCTTTCAGATAACAAAGGAAAACCCAAGACTCCAGAGCCTACCTCTTGTGAGCCAGTCTTGTCTGAGGAAGTCTCACTCTGGGGACAACTAACAGAAGGAGCCTCAGAGAATGTCCATTTGGGGCAAGCCAAGGATCAGAATGGGTCATGTGAAATGCAAGAAAGACACTCAAGACTAGAGATAGATTCCCAGGAGAAGGTTTCTGGGAAAATGAACTCTGAACATGATAGTTTAGGGAAAGCTGATGGTATGTGTTCAAGGATGGTACAGGAACAAGTCTCTTTAGGAGATGATGTTTTTGACTGTGATTCACATGGATCAGGTAAAGATCCTATGTTTCAGGAAGAGGAAAGTATCTTTAAATGCAATGAATGTGGAAAAGTGTTTAACAAGAAACGCCTTCTTGCTCGACATGAGAGAATTCACTCTGGAGTGAAGCCCTATGAATGCACAGAATGTGGAAAAACCTTTAGCAAGAGCACGTACCTCCTTCAGCACCACATGGTCCACACTGGGGAGAAGCCCTACAAATGCATGGAGTGTGGAAAGGCCTTCAACCGCAAGTCTCACCTTACACAGCACCAACGGATTCACAGTGGAGAGAAGCCTTATAAGTGCAACGAATGTGGAAAGGCCTTCACGCACCGATCCACTTTTGTCTTGCATAACAGAAGCCACACTGGAGAAAAACCCTTTGTGTGCAAAGAGTGTGGCAAAGCCTTTCGAGATAGACCAGGTTTCATTCGACACTATATCATCCACAGTGGTGAGAATCCCTATGAATGCTTTGAGTGTGGCAAGGTCTTCAAACATAGATCATATCTCATGTGGCACCAGCAGACTCACACTGGAGAGAAGCCCTATGAGTGCAGTGAATGTGGGAAAGCCTTTTGTGAGAGCGCAGCCCTGATTCATCACTATGTTATCCACACTGGGGAGAAGCCCTTTGAATGCCTGGAGTGTGGGAAGGCCTTCAACCACAGGTCATACCTCAAGAGACACCAGCGTATTCATACTGGGGAGAAGCCTTATGTGTGTGGTGAATGTGGAAAGGCCTTTACCCACTGCTCTACTTTTATCCTTCATAAAAGGGCCCACACTGGAGAAAAACCTTTTGAGTGCAAAGAATGTGGGAAAGCCTTTAGCAATAGAGCAGATCTCATTCGCCACTTCAGCATCCACACTGGAGAGAAGCCCTATGAGTGCATGGAGTGTGGAAAGGCCTTCAACCGCAGGTCAGGGCTCACAAGGCACCAGCGGATTCATAGTGGAGAGAAGCCTTATGAATGCATTGAGTGTGGGAAAACCTTTTGCTGGAGCACAAACCTCATTCGACACTCCATCATCCACACCGGGGAGAAGCCGTATGAATGCAGTGAATGTGGAAAGGCCTTCAGTCGCAGTTCATCCCTCACTCAGCATCAAAGGATGCATAATGGTAGAAACCCTATCAGCGTAACAGATGTGGCAAGACCTTTTACAAGTGGGCAGACTTCAGTCAACATTCAAGAACTTTTATTGGGGAAAAGCTTTTTGAATGTAACCACTGAGAAAAATCTTTTGCAGGAAGAAACATCTTACATAGCATCTGATCTTGCATACCAAAGAGAAACCCCAGAAGTGTCTTCACTGTGAGAAAACTTGTTGCAGAATATCACCTGTCACCTAAAGAGTCATGTTAGAAATTCACTCAGTACAGAGCCTTATTCTCCATCCGAGAGTTTGCCCAGGCAAAGATCTAGTGGTTGTTTATGCACTTAGGAAAATCTTTACCTACACCTTCTTCCTTAATTTACAGTGTAGTGTTATCTCAGGAACTATTATAAAAAGGAGGTGGCAGAAAAGAAAAAGAAATACAAGCACTGCTTCTTTCATATTACTCTTGTATATACATTCATTGCCATCCAGTGTCAGTAAAGTTAGACAGTTAAGGGCAAGTCTGGAATCTTACTGAATGTCTTCTTTATTCTACATTATCTCTATCCTTGAGGAACTTACATTTTTTTTTTAAAGTTTAAAGGCTTGAGTTCTGAAATACTTTTATATTTAGAGAGATAGGGAAACACATACAAATTAGCACATTTTATTACACCACTTAAGACTATTTAGCCTTTGCTTAAAAAAAACTAAAAATGTGGTTCTTAATACCTAACACTCAAAGTTTTTCTTTCTTTTTTTTTTTTTTTTTGAGACAGCTGTTGCCCTGGGTAGAGTGCTGTGCCGTCACAGCTCACAGCAGCCTCAAACTCTTGGGCTTAAGCGATTCTCTTGCTTCAGTCTCCCAAGTACCTGGGACTACAGGTGCTCACCATAATGCCCAGCTATTTGGGGGTTGTAGTTGTCACTGTTTGGCAGGCCCAGGCTGGATTTGAACCTGCCATCTCTGGTGTATGTGGCTTGAGCTACAGGTGCCAAGCCCTATTTTTTTTTTTTGCTGGGGTGGTGGTGGTGTTAGTAGGGGAGACAGAGACAGAGTCTCACTATGTTGCCCTGGGCTATTTTTGGTGGTAGCTGTCATTGTTGTTTGGCAGGCCCGGGCTGGATTCGAACCCACCAGCTCTGGTATATGTGGCTAGTGCCCTAGCCACTGAGCTACAGGCACCAAGCCTCAGAGTTTTTCTTGATTCCCTCCTTTGGTTTACTTGATTGCTGTAGCTATATAGTAAATCTCAAAATTGGGCAATGTGATTACTTTCTCTTTTTATGTAAAAATAATTTAGCATTCCTAGTTTTGACTATTCATATACATATCAGGATTAGTTTTTCTGTTTTTAAAAACAATTCTTTCTCAGATTTTGATAGAAATTGAGTTGAATCTATAAATCAGTGTGTTGAGAATCAGCATCTTTACTATGTTGAGTCTTCCAATTCATGTACACGGGATGTCTTTTTATTTATTTCATTACTATTTTGTAATTTACACCATAAGATTTATATGTTTGTATATTTTTTAGTGATAGGAAATGGCATTAATAGTTAAGCATTCAGTTTCCACATGGTATTTGGTATTAAACAGAAATACGTGTGTGTGTGTGTGTGTGTGTATATATATGTATGCATTTTTTTTTTTTTTTTGAGACAGAGTCTCACCCTGTCACCCTCAGTAGAGTGCAGTTGTGTCACAGCTCACAGCAACCTCCAACTCTTGGGCTTAGGTGATTCTCTTGCCTCAGCCTCCCAGATAGCTGGGACTATAGGTGCACACTCCAATGCCTGGCTATTTTTTGTTGCAGTTTTGTTGGGCCAGGTTCACACCTACCACCCTGGGTGTATTGGGACTGACACCCTACTCCCTGAGCCACAGGCGCCCCCTGATTTCTAGTAATTTCTTTTGGGAGAATTTTTAAGATTTTAAAAAGAGAATGTCACCTGCAAATAGAGAAGCTTTATTTCTTGTTTCCCACCTATGTACCTTTTCTTTCCTTTTTTTGTGTTATCACAGTAGATGGGATTTCCAGTGTGATATTGAGTAGGAATGGTGAGAAGTCATCCATGCCTGGTTCTTGATATTAGGGAGGGGGATATTCAGTTTCTCATTAGTATGATGTAAATTTTTTACCTAGAGTTTCTTTTATCAAGTTTAGAAAGTTCCTCTCTATTCCTAATTTACTGATATTTGTTATTATTGAGTGTGGATTTTGTCAAGTGCTTTTTCTCCATCAATTGATGTGATTATATGATGTTACTTCTATAATCTGTTGATATGATATATTACATTGATTAGTTTTCAGTATAGAACCAGCTCTACATCCTTGGAATAATTGCACTTAGTCATGGAGTATAATTTTGTTTATATATTTTGTTATAGTATTACACTTGTTAGTATTTTCTTGAGGCAGTTTTTGTTTTAATTTCATGAATGATCATGGTCTTTCCTTTTCTTGAACTGTTCTTACCTGATTTTTATGTCTGTGTGGTGTTAGTTTCTTATTGGAAGCAGTTCTTTTCTCTTCTGTTTTTTGGAAGACTGTATAGAATTGGTGTTATTTGTTCTTTTAATGTTTGACAGCATTTTCCAGTGAACCATTTGGGCCTAGAGATTTTTCTTTGGGCTACTTTTAAATTATGTATTTATTTTATTTAATAGGTATCAGAGTATTTCATATTGGATTAATTTTTATAGTTCTTTTCAAGGAATTGTTCCTTTTTGTGGAGATTTTCTAATTTGTTTGTAGTATTGTTTGAAATATCCCTTCTTATCCTCTTGAGGGCAGCAGGATCTGTAATTATATCTCTGTTGTTTTGGTGTTTGTGTGTGTTTTGTTTTTTAGATAGAGTCTTACTCTGTTTCCCAGGTTACAGTGCTGAGGTGTCATCATAACTCACAGCAACCTCAATCTCCTGGGCTCAAGTAATCCTCCTGCCTTGCCTTAGCCTTCTGAGCAGCCAAGACTGCAGACACCTGCCATAACACCCAACTGATTTTTTTTCTATAGGGTTTCACTCTTACTTAGATTGGTTTTGAACTCCTGAGTTCAAGTGGTCCTCCTATGTTGGCTTTCCAGAGTGCTAGAATTACAGGTGTAAGCCATGACACCCAGCCTCCTGTTGTATTTTTGATAATTGGAAATATATCTATTTTCTTCTTTTTTAGTCTTATTACACATTTACTAGTTTCATTGATCATTTCAACAAAATTGATATAAAGAGCCAGCACCTTATATCGCTGATTTTTCTCCATTTTTTTTTTGTTTGTTTGTTTTGTTTTTTTGAGACGGAGTCTCACTATGTCACCCTTGGTAGAGTGCTATGGCATCACAGTTCACAGCAACCTCTAACTCTTGGACTCAAGCGATTCTCTTGCCTTAGCCTCCCAAGTAGCTCAAAAGAAAACAATTTTCCTACAGCCTGCTACAATCCAGTTTTGTTCTTAATTTCACTGGTTTCTGCTCTGATACACATGTATTGTGTTCTATCTTCTACTTGCTTTGGTGGTATTTGAGTCTTAGTAATTTCTCGAGGTGAATGTTTAGATTATTGATTTGAGGCTTTTGTTGTTGTTGTTTGAGACAGTCGTAAGCTGTTGCCCTGGGTAGAGTGTCATGGAGACATCATAACTCACAGCAGCCTCTAACTCTTGGGCTCAAGTGATCCTCTTCCTCGGTTTTTTGTATTTTTACTAGAATGAGGTCTCACTCTGGCTCAGGCTGGTCTCAAACCAGTGACCTCAAGCAATCCACCCCCCTCAGCCTCTCAGAGTGCTAAGATTATAGGCATGAGCCACCATGCCGGCCTGCATTTTGCATTTTTAACATAACCATCTACAAGTTTACCTCACAGTACTGCTAGCTTCATCCTACAAGTTTTAATATTTTAAGTTTTATTCAGTTGGAAATTTGTATCCCTTTGAGACCTTCTAATGTATGAATTATTTACAAGTATATGTTTAATTTTCTAGTGTTTGGAGTATTTCCTACTGTTTGTTACTGATTTTAATTTGTTTCACATTTGATCTTACTGTTTAAGCTTGATTTTTTTTTTTTTAAATGACCCTGGATATGGTCTGTGTTGTATAGCTGCTTGGAAAGGATGATGTGTATTTTGCTGTCATTGGATAGAGTTTCTGTACATGTTTATACAATCGTGTTTTGTTTTGTTTGTTTTTTACAGACAGAGTTTCATTCTGTTGCCCTCAGTAGAGTGCTGTGGCATCACAGTTCACGGCAACCTCCAGCTATTGGGCTTAGGCAATTCTCTTGCCTCAGACTCCCAGGTAGCTGGGACTACAGGCGCCTGCCATAATGCCTGGCTATTTTTTGTTGCGGTTTGGCCAGGGCCAGGTTTGAAACCACTACCCTTGGTATATGGGGCGGTGCCCTATATAATCATGTTTGTGGTGTTATTTGATTCTGCTATCTTTGCTGAGCTGCTGTTTTGTATTTCTGTCAGTTGCTATGAAGGGATGTTGAAGTCTTGAACTATAATTGTGGAATTATCTGTTCTTCACATTAGATCAGTTTTTGTTTCACATAATTTAAAACTCTATCATTTGGTATATACACATATAGGTTTACTAAGTCTTCTTAGTATATTGACACTTTTATTATTATATGATGTCCTTTTGTTCTCCTATTAAGTCTCCTGGCTCTGAAGTATATTTCTTTTGATATTAATATAGTCACTTTTGCATTTTTTGGTTAATGTTTGCATGGTTTATATTTTTCAACATTTTATTTTAAACCTTATCTGTCGGCTCGGTGCCTGTGGCTCAAGTGGCTAAGGCGCCAGCCACATACACCTAAGGTGGCAGTTTCAAATCCAGCCCCAGCCCGCCAAACAACAATGATGGCTGCAACCGGAAAAAAAAAAAAATAGCCAGGTGTTGTGGCGGGCGCCTGTGG